TTTGATGTACTTCGTTCAGTTACGTATTGCTGTTTAAACTAGCCTCAAAATAGATTCTAAAAGAATTTAACTAAATTCGCGTATTCTGTAATTTTCTATGAATAGGAAGAACTAGCGCACAACGAGTCACCAAATGACTTGAACTTGTCTCTATGAGCATCATTTATTTTTATATTCATTTTCAAATATATTTGAGTAATTATTAAAACACAAGTGATTCGATCACTTTTCTCCACACAATGACTAACAGTTTTGATCTACCAAAATCGAATTTAGTAGGCCAAAATAAACAGTGCACCCATTTGTCCCAGAAGTTAACATGTGTGACGGGGTAAGTTCGTAACCAAGGTCCTCTATCTGTCCTGACCACCCGCTAAATCCCGATGTGTGAAGAGTTAAGTAGTCCTCCACCTAAAACAAGCCCAAACAAGCAAGACATCGTCGATGAACTAAACTTTAGCGAGTATTAAAGACATTTGGATCCAACTTTCACTCAATTGAGCCGTGGAACCACGAGGACAAAATTCTACGTTAAGAAGAATTAAACGTTCCACAGGGTGGTGTCTTCTCCCCGCTACTGTAACTTCTATAATTCGAGCCTCGCTCGAGTTGCCCCGAGAATCTGCAGCGACTCTTGCCAACTTCATCGAGATATTTAGCAGACATAACCCCTCTTTGCATGCCCACCTGAATTCCACTTATCTAACACCTCTCCTATTGTCGAACCGTCGAGACAGCACATGATGACAAGCAACTTGAATCTCACCACCTAAGCGGGGATGGTAACCGTTTAACTCGAAAAGTTATCAATTTTTGATTAAAAACTGTGGATTGACAGAGTTTTATATGTTCGAAATTTATTAAGTGACTTTATTGAAAAATGATGTAACTCACCGACAATCCAGCAGCAGTGCATTATCCTTTTGACCGCAACGGATCATTTGGTCCATATACCACAGGGCATACCAGCGAATTTGTGCTCAGCGGCTGACATACTAAAGCGCGTTTCTTGTTGCTGTAATTGTTAAATGAAAATCAAAAATTAAAATAAAAACAAATAAAAATTGAAAAAAGGTTCGAATTGTTGACAGCCAACAACCAAAAGTAAATAAAAATATATATCTATAAAAATATTATATATATTTATATGAACAGATGTTACACTAAAATGTTCGGTTACTTCCGAACTTAGCCCTTCCTTACTTGTTTTTATTTACTTTTTTGGCTTGGTTGGCCTGTCAACAATTCGAACCTTTTTATTTCAATTTATTTTATTTGTTTTTATTTTTAATATTTTGATTTTTGATTTAACAATTACAGCAACAAGAAACGCGCTTTAGTATGTCAAGCCGCTGAGCACAAATTCGCTGGTATGCCCTGTGGTATTATGGACCAAATGATATCCGTTGCGGGTCAAAAGGATAATGCACTGCTGCTGGATTGTCGGTGAGTTAAATAATTTTTTTGTTGAAAAAATTATAAAATTGATAAAAGGGTATATAAGGTGCTTACATTATAGTTCCGATAAGACTATTGTATGTTTTAGTTTCTCTCAAGCATTCTTTATATTTTTTGTGCTAACTTTTATAAAACTTATACATATGAAAGTCTAGTAGCACTTGTAAAATTTCGTTAATATTGTACCACCCTCTTCAACAGCTGTTTCCAGCTCTGTCTATTTTACATAGTTCTATATTGGCTGATACCATTTGGCGACAAGTTCAAGTCATTTGGTGACTCGTTGGCAGCTAGTTCTTCCCTATTCAAAGAAAATTGCAGAATACGCGAATTTAGTCAAATTCTTTCAGAATCTTATTTTGAGGTTAGTTTAAAACTGTGTGCCTATACTTTGTGGGATAGTTCGGAACTAGTTCAGATAGCTAGATAATATAAGCTGATATCGAACCCCTAATAGCGAAATATCTTCAAACAATTTAGCATAGATTATTGCCTTAAGCAATGGTGCAATCACCGAAAAAGTCGTTTAGATCGGACCACTATAGCATATAGTTGTCATACAAACTTAACAATCGGAAGCAAATGCTTGTATGGAAAACTTTTCCATTTGACGTGATATATTCATTAAATTTGGCATAAATTATTATTCCAGTGCAATCATTGAAGAAATTTCGTATATCGTTAAAGCTTGTTTTTGTTTTTATATAATTAATTACTACTAAGTCAGCTTTCGTTGAAATTTTAAAATTTACTGAGCCTATTCTGCGTGACTGTTAGTTCAACGCACCACAAGTGACGTATTACAATCATCTAACTTTTTACTATATGCTCTATATAATTTAATAACTTTCAATGCAGCACAGTTGAAAATATTCGTGCAGCGCAGTCATAAAACCACACAAAAGAACACACAAACACATGTTCATATGAAGCTTATAGCGTAACTTTTGTCTTAATAAAGGCCAAAATGCGCTGATAATGTGTGATTTTTTAACACAAATACATCTCAAAGCAGTATTAATAAAATCAAAAAAGTAAATAAATAAATAAATGCAAAATTATACAAAATCAACTAATAAAATCATAAAAATGCAACCTACTGACTACTTTGGCACTTTTGCAATGAGCGCGCTACAACAAACACACAACAAAAAAAAAAAAGAACATAAAATACTCGTGCGCTTTGTATGGCGAATTATGATAATAAAAAAAATAATTGTAATAAAAGTAATATTTTTTTGTAATATTTTTGCGACAGGCAGCAACAAATTTACGACAAATAGCGTCTGCTAGCTGGCAACCGCAGCGCTTTAACACACAAACACTCACACCTTGACACACACACATACACATGCAGGTCTGCACATTACTAATGCCAAGCTGCTGCTGCGGCTGTGAAATTGAAAAAGTTGCGCGCTTATGTGGCGGTT